AAATTTGATAGGGCTCCATTATACCCCCACCAAAAATCTCTTATCAAAATAATAATTTTGTGACATATTTTGAAGAAAAGTTGACATGCCATGAAATAAGGTAAAGAAGAGATAATAGATTTGTTGCTGATTCCAGAGTCATCATCCCTTGTCGCCACGATCATTCAAAATCCAAATTTTAACAACGTCATGTATAGTTATATATAAATACGTCTTTAAGAGTTGATAAATTGTCTCCTATAACTCTATTTTAAAGGTTCTTAAGTCTTAACTCAATTTTTTGGAGCCCTGTGTGGAATCGGTATTTCCTGATTTGATTTCTTGAAGATACACATTTTATGTTTATTCTACTCTGATGCAAGTGTTGGGATTCTACAACCATGTTCTGGAAAACACTGCAATGTCGGTTCTGGTCTTTAACGTCTACTAAAATTGTTTCTGTCTAGTTCTGGAGGATTATTCTTTGATGTCTTCCGGTTTTGGATTGGATCCCGTCCACTCCAAAATCAATTTGGATTGGATGGATTGGTTGGACCAATAAAATATATTGGATCGGACCAATTTAGTTCAAAATATTTATTAGATTGGATTGGATCTGGTCCATCCGTAATAAATTTATATTGGATTGGATTGGATTAAGTCAATATCTAGTTCATTGATATAAGATAAGAATATATATGTCAATGAAGTTTGGATTGAAACCAATCTAAATCAAAATGAATTTGAACAGATGGAATTGGACCGGTCCATATATATCCAAAATATTCATTGGATTGGTGGACCTGATCAATTTATAATGAACTCATATTGGACTAGATCGGATTGGAACAAATCCAGTCCAATTGGCACCCCTATAATCAAGCTCAGTTTTTAACCATACAAATTTAATTTTGAATGAAGATGTTCACTGGAAATGGAGCTGATTTGGATCCTTTCTAATGATTTGTTTCACAAATACCCGAGACCAAGATCTTAGGGAAGGAAAGGGAGTGATAGTACACGAATGAAACCTAGAAGTACTATGAGATTCAGAGCCAGAGTTCCTCCTAAAATACGACGAATGAAATGCCATAAAGCCAAAGTTCCTCCTAAAATACGACGAATGAAATGCCATAGAGCTAGAGTTCATAATTATTAAATATTTTGTATCTTTTAAATTTTTTATCATTTTTATTTGTATTAATGATTAGATATTTTATTTTTAATTAATTATTAATTATTTTAGTACTTTTTGAGATATTAATTTGCTAATTATAAAATATTTTTCATGGATTTGTGGAATTTATTTGTACTTTTCAATATTACTTCATTATTTAATAATTTACTTTTAAGTTTTTTAAATATTTATAATTTTTTCTTGTATCAATTATTAAATATTTTAATTTTTACTAATTATTAAATATTTTAGTAAATATTTTTTCTTGTCTATAATAGTCAAGGTTGTCAGTTGTGGCCTTTATTCATATTTTTAATGTTATCTTTTAATTTTTAATAAATTATTTTTAATTTTTAATCTTTTATAATTTTGTTTTTATTAATTATTAAATATTTTAAAAAAATTTAAGATATTAATTTGCTAATTATTAAATATTATTTCGTGGGCTCATGGAATCTATTTGCATTTTTCAATATTATTTTTTTAATATTTTATTTTTTAATTATTGATTATTTTAATTATTAATTGTTTTTACTAATTTTTATTTGTATTAATTATTAATTATTATCATTTATTCATATTTTTCAATATTATTTTGAATTTAATATATTGATTTTATAAAATAGTGCAAATTGAACTCAAAATTAACAATTAGTCTGTTCTAGGGGTAAAATAGTAAAATCAAGGAATTTCAGATGCTAAAGGATTGATCCAACACAAATAACCTTGACTATTAAGAGTCTCTAAAAAGCAGAAAAGTAGGCATGCAAGAAATATTTAAGTAGACTTTGAGCCTCTTACCTTTCTTTACCCCAATATTCGGATAGAAATCCATCAACTCCTTAACCTTCTTGCCGCCCGGAATGCCTCCAAGATTAAAAGTAGGCATGCATCTTGTCAACATCACTCTGGCTTCACCTTCCAAGCATATTTTTCACCTCCAATGAATGGAAAACCCAACATCTTGCTCATCTGAATGTCTACTTCCATTCTTTGTTCCAAATTGTACATATGGCTCAGTTTGGAAAGTGTACAAATGCAAATATGTATAGTACAAATACATACAAAATAATACAAAATATAAGGTTTTGCACTCTACATATTTGCATTTATACTCCTTCCAAACTGAGCCTATGTGTCAACCAAATTAGTACCTAAGGGTGAGCACAGGTTGGCTAAGTTCAGTTCCAAGGTTTTTGAAACTAGAACCTACCCTGTCAAGATTAGTTCTAGGATTGGTTTTACCCTTGATGAATCTGGGGATAGTTCTAGGGTTTACCCATGGAACTTGCTTGTTCTTATCCACAAGAAAATAGAACTTGTTCTTAAAAAACATTCCATAACATTAAGAATCAAATTAGATAGCTACGAATGTTGTTGAATTTAATATAGTATTATATGTTAAGTTATGCTATTTATCAAAAAAAGTTAAAAGTGTATTATGTGACATAATTACATAATCACAAATTATATAATTGATAATTAATGTAACTATCAATATATATCATTGATAAGAAATCACATTCATAAAATGCTTAAACTTGATTTTCAATAAAAATAATATATAGTTCAAAATGCATCATAGTTTAAATTTTGTAAATATTACCTTTTGCATTACTTATTATGTACATTCAAATATTAAAAATATTATCAATTCACTTAAGTGGCTTAGTGGTTAAGTAAAACCTTGGATGGTCATTGTAAACATGACTTCTTGGGTTCAAATCTTTGCATATTCAAAGTATTTTGGCATTTATTTTAAGGTAAGATCAGTTAGAAGCAAAATATGGTATAAGAGGAAATGACGCCAAACCAATCTTTCTACATTAGATTGACTCAAGAAGAAGATTGGGATTTCCATATACATGTAATTTGGTGCAAAGGGCAAAGGCTAGATCGGCTCGAGACTGTTCTACAAGGCGGTTTGAGACAGAACCTTGAGCTCAAGCTCGGCTTGAATAAAAAATTCATAAGCTCGGTTCGGCTCGAGCTCAATTTTGAGAAAAAATATTTTTTATTATATATATATATGTATATATATATCCGAGAAACCGAGCCAAACTGAGCTCGAACATCTCGTGAAAAGCTCGGCTCGTTACCACACCTCCTAGAGAGATTAATGTTGATTGAGACTCCTACCTGTGTATTATGCAATAGGGCTGAAGAGTTAGGAGACCCCCTTTTACTGCACTACAATTTCTCTTACATTATCTCTGGGTAAGGATTTTAAAGATGTCTACATTAAGTTGTAGCTGCCAATCAATAGTCGAGGCTCTTGTCAAGAGCTGGAGATTGCAAGGCCAGAGTAAGAGTTAGGAGACCCCCTTTTACTTGATTCCAGGTGCAGTTTTTTGGTCAATTTTGCAAGAAAGAAACTCAAGGATGTTTCATAACAAAAGCTGTCAAGAGGATGTAGTGTGACAAAGAATTGTGGCCCTTGTGGTAGTATTTCATGATAGATCAATCAATTTATTGTGGGTTTCCTTTCCCTTGAGAGACTATCTCAGAGTCTGGTTTGGCATGTTTTATTTTGATGGAGGCGGAGACTTGAAAGTGGGTTTTCCTTGTAAAAGGGTATTCTAGGAATTTTCAAAAATATAACAGTCATCTGATCAATATCACATATGAATGGAGTGTGGCGGAAAGTTAATAGTAAAAAGGTTTTAGATAATTGTCAAAAAAACTTAAAGGTACTTTTAAGACAATATATAAATATATAAATAGTAAGAGTATATTTAACCAATTTCCTAAAGCATAAGTGATGCTTTAAGAAATTTGAGCTTTGTTTTGAATCAATTAATTTGATGGTACCGTTATAGACCCATCTTCGATATGGAACCCAATTACCCAAACCTGTGAATACTATGACACGTGTGGGAGGTGAATGGTCTGATTCTTCATCCATTCAACGGCTGAATTAGTTGAAAGGTTTCAAAATATGCAGGGTCGTATTATACAGGGGTGCAACTTGGGTATGCCTAACCCAATTCTGGACCGACCCAATCTGCATTTACTTGTATTTTCAGTCTTTAGGATGGGCTTGGGCTCCAATGATTGTTTTTTCTTTCGGATTAGATTCAGACCTGGACCTGGCCCTTAGGTAGCATAAGTGTGGCCTGTGACTGTATGACATATATATATATATATATATATATATATATATATTTATGCATACTTTTTTTTAAACCATTTATATACATACGTTTATAACTAATTTTTGTGTCGAGTGGCTTAAAATTTTAATGTGAAGGCTTAAGAAAACAATTTTAGTGCAGTGTGGACTTAGGTTTCATAGTTTGGGCTTGACATTGGGCTTGGGTTAAAACTTAGCCTGGACTGCTTAATATATATATACCTATACACATGGTTTTCAAAACTGAACCAGATTGGACGGTCGGACCAGAAAAATCGGGAATCAATTAGGTGACCAGAAAACCTGAAAAACCACTGATCCGGATGGTTGAACCGTTCAACAGTTTGGTATTTTTTATTTTATTTTTATTTTTTGTTAGAACATGTCCGTTCATTTTGAATGATCGAACCATTTGACCCGAGAACTGGCCCCTGACCGGTTCATTGTCCGATTCAGTTTTAAAAACCTTGCCTATACATGCAAAATGCCAAAGTTTCTGTTGTAAATAAGTTAGGGATAATAGCATATAAGGGCAACTTTTGGGGTTTAATATCAATAAAAGTAATATTTAAAAAAAAATCAAATATAGGTTAACTTTTCAAAAATAATACAATAAAGGGCAAAAACACTGTTTATTATTTTCTTCTTGCCATTTGTCCACCAGTGCCGCCATCCGCCGCCGCCCGCCGCCGCCTTCGCCCATCTCTGCCTCTACCTCCGGCAACATTGCTGGAGGTGGCCAGAGGCAGATGTGGCGGCGACGGCATTGGTGGTCATTTCTCTGCCCAACACCTTCACCTCCGCCTCCACCTCAACCTCCAGCAACGCTGTCGGAGGTGAGTGGAGACAAAGGTGGCAGCGGCGGCATTGGGTAAAGAAATGACCACCACCGCCCCCGCCTCTACCTCTGCCTTCGATCACCTCTGGCAACATTGCCGGACGTGGAGGCAGAGATGGCGGAGGCAGTGGGCAGCAGCAAACAGCGGTGGCAAGTGGTGGCAGGCGGCGGCGGACAGCGGTGCTGGTAAACAAATAACAAGAAGAAGATGATGAACAATGTTTTTGCCCTTTATTGATATTATTTTTAAATTTTTTTTTATTTTTGAATTTTTTTAAAGTATTACTTTTATTTTATTGATATTAAACCTCAAAAGTTGCCCTTATATACTATTAAGTTATCCCACTAGAGAAATCCACTAAGCATTTAAAAAAATGGAAAAGGTTCAATTTAAAAAAAGTATAAATACAAATATGTACGACACAAACGGTTTTGCGCTCTAAAAATATTTGTACTCTTTCCAAATGGAACCTAGAATACATTTGCCTATGTCCCATTGTTCATATCTTTCCATACAATTGATTAGAATGCACAGATAAGATCGTCAATTTATCTAATCTCCCAAACTCTTCAGGGATTGTACCAGTCAAGTTGTTCCTTGAAAGAACAATTCTGACCATATTCAAAGCTTCAACTCGTCGTGGAATCTCCCCGGATAAGTTGTTATCACTAAGATATAAATATTTTAGATTCTTTAACAAAAATAAAGAACCAGGGATAATCCCACTCAAGTTGTTATGCGAGAGTTCCAACATTTCTAGCTTCATCAGATTACCGATTGTTTCTGGAATCTCTCCAGACAAACTATTGCCTTTTAGTCGGAATTGCTTCAAACCCCACCTCGAGCCGATACTGGCCGGCATCTTACCGGATAATTGGTTTGAATGCATGAACAACATCGTCAAGTTATTCAGTTTTCCGAAATCTTCCGGTATCGTTCCAGTTAAGTTGTTTGCTGAAAGATCCATCGTCGTTAGACTCAGAGCTTCAATTCGTCTGGGAATCTCTCCTGACAATTTGTTTCCATAAACATACAAATGAGTTAGTTTCTTCAAAAGAAACAAGCTGTCTGGAATCATACCGTTGAGATTGTTCGCCGACAGGTTGATGAGTTGAAGTCCCGTCATGTCACCGACTGATTCCGGAATTTCTCCAATCAGATTAGTCATCAGCATTGACAAAAAACTAAGATTCTTCAACCGAGTGAGTTCCACAGGGATCCGTGAAGGCACGAATTTGTTTCTATCCATGGCGAGAGCTTCAAGGTTTGACAGGTTGCAGATTTCTGGAGGGAAAGTTCCATTAAACTTATTTTGATGGAGATAAAGATTCTTCAATGTCGTTAAACGCCCAATTGCCTCTGGGATGTCACCGAAGAACGTATTTTGGCCAAGATTGAGGAACGAGAGGCGAGAAAACCGGTGGATATCATCAGGAACCCGTCCAACCAACATGTTCTGAGAAAGATCAAGAATTTCGAGCTTTGAACAGTTGTAAAGAACAGTTGGAAATTCACCCAGGAGATAGTTGGATGAGAGGACAATGAGGGTGATGTTCTTGAGGTCGCAGATGACGGAAGGGATTCTACCGGTAATGTTCATTTGGGGAAGTGAGATATAAGTGACAGAACCTTACACAGGAGATTCCAGTCCAGTTACAGTGACCGATTGATGAACTCCACGAGAAGAGAGATGGTGGATTTCCCCATTCTTGCTTTAGTTTCAGTAGGATCTTTTGCTCTTCTAAATACATTGTTTGTGAGTAGCCATCGAAGCGTAGACAGAGAAGGACGAGAAGGAGAGAAAATGGGGTTAAGGATTTCATCCTATACGATGACATTCATGGATTTGTTATTTAAGTCAGGCAAACTGTCGCAGTTATATTCAACTCAATGCAAAATTGGATCAAAGTAAGCGTTTGGGAGACTTTCATGCAACGACTTCTAGCTTTTGCAAGACTTTCATGCAACGACTTTAGCTTTTGCAAGACTTTAATGCAACGCGTTTGGGAGACACAAAGTACGCGTTTGTGTCTCACCGGCTTAATTTGCAGGCATGATTAAATGAAGAGAACAAGAATCTGTCAAATAGATAGAGCATTTGAACCTTTGATCTTCAATTAATCATTCCGTGAGACCATGATTGGAGAGAGAGGCCATCCTTATCATCTAAAGTATGGGATCTACGAGGCTATTTTCTTTAGTTCAGATGGTATATACATATGATTTTCTCTTTTTTTTATTTTAATTTTTTTAATTTTTTGATAGATAAAAAAAATTCATGACATTAATACAATGAGATTATTGGTATTAAAACACCAATTTTATTGAACTCCGGGATCATCAAATGATGATCACTCCTGTCACCATCGTTGTGACCATAGTTTTCAAAACTGGACTGGAAAAATGGAGAATTGGTCAGGTGATTGATAATATAAAAAAAGCATAAGTAAACAATATAGAGTAAAGGGAAAAGTTGGTCAATATGATTTTGTTTTCCATTGACCAAGAATCCCATGTTCTTTTCTCAGATTTATGTGGGGACCATGGAAAGTTTATTTTCTTGGGTATTCACTTGAATGGAACAAAAATGCCCTTTTTAATAATAGACTTTTATGGCTAAAATGGTCATTGCCTTATTTACATGAGAAATAAAAGAACATGATTAAATGCACTTACCCGGGTACGTGTTTCCTAGGAAAAACTTACCCAGGTAACTACATTTACTCGAGTAAGTAACTTACTAAAAAACAAGCAGGGTCTAAATAGTAAAGATTAAAGAGTGGAAACTTCTAACAATACATAAATAGTCCCAATTAGACCTGCCAATTGGGTCAGCGGGTTGACCCATGACCCAACCCAACAGTTTTTTTCCGGATTGGGTCTAATTGGGTCATTCTCACAATTAGGTAGCTAAATATGAGACCTTAATCCTGTTTTTTCGAGTTGGGTTGGGTGTTCATAGATTGGGTAAACTTTTTGCCAAGTTTAACATTTGACATTCCTAATTTTAAGAACTTATCTCCTTTTTGTAGTTAAAATGCCCCTATAAAACACTTAAGTCTTTAACAATAGAAATTCTTCAAATGGAAAGAAGGAATTACTTGCTCTACTCACGTAGTCAAATATTAGATGGCAAGCAAAACTGAGGAGCTTGATCAACAGTTTGAAATTCATTTGTATAATCATTGTTGATCTCCACCATATGCAGCGAGGGTGGAGAGTGGAAGATTGGGAACAGTTCCAACTTCTAGGGTCTGTTTGGTTCATGGGAATAAGTGTTTGGAATCAGAATCAGAATAGCTATCCTGACCTCAACAATTGGTTCTGTGGAATTTGAAATCCCATTATCATTTCTGATGAAATGACATTTCCCATCTGGATCAGCCATTCCCTCTCCCTCTCTTGGGAATGAAAATCCCATTCTAACTGATTCTGATTTCTATCTGAACCAAACAAATAACAGGGATAGACCATTCTGATACAGATTTTGAGGGATTTCAATTTCAATTCTAATTGCAAACCAAATACATCCTTGGGTATTTTTCACACAAAGTGACTGCCCTCAAACTCTAACTCTAACCCAAATGCTCATGCCTACAAGCCAGAAATTTTATCACCAAGTAATGGTCCTATTGTCATTAATAAAAGCTATCCAAAAAGAAAAAATAATAAATAAATAAATAAAGATGAGGCCTATTTCATTACATGTCCACAAAAGTACACTATTCTGAGATTAATGATCTGGTTTCACTTTTTCACTATCTTTAGTTCTTTTCTATTCTTTAATTTTATATTTCTGCAATGAATGATTTCGTCCCTAGTTTTAGTTTATGTTTCTGTTTCTGTTTTTAACTAATTATAATGCAAAATTGCTAATTAGATTTGTACTTGCTAAAATCGTTAAGTAGAAAGTTAGCATGATTTTTACAAAAAAGTTCAACCAAACGTTACAACCATGGCCCAAGGTAGAGTAATCGGAATCATCAATTCACTGGTGCAATGTAGAAACCCAACAAACAAGCGGGACCATACAAGAAAAGCAAAGAGAAGCAAATACACTATGCATATTACTAATGCAAAGCATGCAAGGATACATACATACTCACAACATATCACACACGTGCACTATTTTAACTTAAAAAATTACGTACTCACTAACCTTGCTCGGAGGCTGCTTCTCACCACTATTGAAGGCTATACAGAGGGAGGCTACACACTTCGAGACTACTCTATACAACGGCACACCTTTACTATTTTAACTTGAATTACAACATGTTCAAAAGGGGGTGAGCCCCTATTTATATATGAGTTAACCGCCTTACGTGAGGCGGTTTAACAATAAATTTGGTTCTTAAATGGTCCACGTGGGACCCTTTAAAACCAAACATTCTGAGTCGGTTTTGGAACTGACTTAATGAAGTCGGTGCTGACTTCTTTCATTTCTCCCCTTCAGCAACGACTTCTCTCTTGCTAATCATTCCAAGTTTTGTTTATGCTTGATGAACTTAGTGGGACTTAATCGTTTAGTAAATAGATCGGCAACTTGATCTTCTGTCTTGATTGATTTTAAGAAGATTTCTCCACATAATATTTTTTCTCTGACGAAGTGATAATGAACTTCAACATGTTTTGTCCTTGCATGGAATACCGGAAACTATTGCAGATAGATTATCACAATATAATGAAATTGGTTTGTCAATTTGTTGATGCATGTCTCTTAGTAGTTGTGATAACCAAGTGCTTTCTTGTGTTGCCATTTCTGTTGATAAGGACACTGTTGGTTGTCTCTTACTGCACCATGATATTGCCCTTGAACCAAGTTTGAAAATGTATCCTGATGTGGATCTTCTTGTTGTCAGATCTCCTGCATAATCACCATCACAGAATCCAGAAACTTGACATTCTTCTTTCTTTTCGTAAAGAATTCCAAAGTCAGCAGTTCCTTTCACATATCGTAGGATTCGACGAACTGTTTGAAGATGAGGTTTCTTGGGATTCTGCATGAAACGACTCATCACTCCAACTGCAAAGGTTATATCAGGACAAGTCATTGTTAGGTAGATTAAATTACCTACTAGTTGTCGGTACATCGTCGGTTCTTTTAGTTCTTCTCCTTCATCTGCATGTAGCTTTGCATTCAGATCTATTGGTTTAGAAATAGGTTTGTAGTCGACCATTCCATACTTCTCTAAGAGATCCTTTGTGTATTTGTGCTGATAGAGAAACATTCCATCTTTTACTTTTTCAAGTTCTAGCGCAAGAAAATGTCTGAGCTCTCCAAGCTCTTTCATTTGGAACCGTATAGAAAGGTTCTCTTTTATCCTTTGATTATCTCTTTCATCATCTCCAGCGATGATGAGATCATCTACATAAACAAGAACAATGGAGATCTTACTATTTTGAGTTTTTATAAATAAGCTTGAATCTGCTGATGTAATTGAAAATCCAGATCGGACTAAAAACTCAGCTATCTTTCCATACCACGCTCGTGGTGCTTGTTTTAATGCATGTAAAACTTTCCGTAATTTGCAAACATAATTTGGATGATTTTGACTTTCAAACCCTTTTGGCTGCTCCATATATATCTCACAATCAAGTTCTCCAAGAAGAAAGGCATTATTCACATCCATCTGCCATAATTTTCATTAGTAACTTACAGCCAAAGCTATTAGTGGTTTCACCATTGTGATTTTTGCAACGTGACTTAATGTCTCATCATAGTCTAAGCCATATTGCTGTGAAAAACCTCGAGCAACCAATCGAGCTTTATATCTTTCTATAGATCCATCAACCCTTCTTTTTACCTTATAAACCCATTTGCATGAGATAGGTTCTACATCATGGGGTTTTGGTACTATTTCCCATGTTTGATTTTGCTTTAAGGCTTTGATCTCTTTGTTAGACAATGTATGCCCTTAGCTCCAAATCAGATTGATTTACTTGATGACATTTATTGTAAATAAATAAAAGTACATAATTGATTCATGTGTTTTGGTATGTTTCTGTGTAATACCCTTAAACTGGACACTTATGAGACTCGTGTTAGTTTAGAATCTTCACAGTCATTGGATAGATTTAGGGAGATTTATCCTACCAAGGCTGACATTGATGTGTTGCCAAGTTGGTTGGGATGGCTTGTCTCAGCTGCTAAGGTGAGACCTGAGGTGCATGTAGTGTGGGTGTTCTTGAAACCTTGAACCGGACCGAAACTCCATTATTGCCTTGGACCTTAGAGACAGATGGGCAAAACTGGAATGTTATACCTAACCCCTAGACTCGATTATGATACTGCACTATGTGTCGAATTGGGCTGTCTTTGATGTACCAATCAGTGAGATCCTTAGAGGGGGTCGAAACCTAGGTGTGTTAGGACAGTCCGAAAATTCATCTGAGTGGGTGATCATAGTGACAGGATCAACCCCTTTGTCGAACAAAGTGAATGATCGGGGATGCACTCTCTCTGATGGAAACCTAAGTTGCTGGCTGTTGATTTCAAACGTTGAAATTTGTTTTTGCAAAATATATTTATATAGAGATACACACACACACACACACATTATGGTTTCAAAATGTTTGCAAAAAGTTTTAATTCCCGGGATCCATGTGAGTAGAGAGTGTAGCATTGTTCTTTGCAGCCGAGGGAAAGGTCCTCTCTTGTCGGCCAGTGTTTGATCATTATGGGTTGAGAGGTTAAGTGTAAGACCATTGAGGGTAATACCTGATGGGCTAATCTTGCATCTGCCCATAGTCCTTGTGTTTTCATAAGGTGACTAAACCCAAGGACCATTTAGTGTAAATGTTGAGCCCATTAAGAGCCCATGGTGATGGACTCAGGGGTTCATAGTCTCCTACAGTGAATTCGGCCAAGCTTTGTAACAAAGGCTGGGCTGAACACATGTGGTTGATGTGTAGATCAATGTAAGGGTCCCACGCCATACAAAGAGAGCCCATTGGGCAACAGGTTAAAGGTGTAAGTGAGCACATAGGCTTAATGGGCCTAGAGCCCAATTCGAGCTGGGCTTAAATTGGTTAATTGAAAGGAGGCAAGATCTGATTAGGATTAGCTGAAAGGATAAGATAAGTCTTATCCATTTAAGAGTCCAGATCCAAATATCAGATTTGGATCAAGAAACTCTCTCCTAGTTAGATTAGGAGGCTGATCCAAAGAAAATTATAAATAGGGGGCGAATTCCTCAGTTTTAACACAAGGCAATCTGCAAAGTTCCCTCCTTGTTCTTGCTATCCCTATCCAGTTCGATCTCCACCAGTGGAACTAATCAAGAAGAGTTCTTGATATTGTTTCTTTGCTGAAGAAACAATCTGATGTCGTGCTCACCAGCCCTTTACTCCATTCTTGTAGAAGAATTCGGTTCTTGCTGAAGAGTCGTCCTACTAATCCTGCTTCACTACGCACTATGTCATATTCAATGGAAGTGGGTTTTGATTTTTTCCTTGGGCGTGAACACCTTCATTGAGAGTTACTGCTACTTCGTATCAAGTATATTCTTATCCTTCCTTTGGTTTTAGATCTGATCCGATTTTGTTTCACGAGTGATCCTTGAAAATGAAGTTTTCTAAAATAGGGAATGCAATTCCTAGACGAGAGAGCGAAATTTTTGAAATTTCGCCCAACCTTCCTACAGGGTTGGCCATCCATATGATGGATCTTTCACCCCTTCAGTGGTATTAGACCCAGGTTCACATTCTTGAACCAAAATCAGACCCGATATGAATCTGCACAAATAGGCAGAATCGGTTCTACTCGATTTGCCCAGTTAAGGGTTTTCATTGAGAATTCGATTCTCAGCCATGGGCGATTGATCTGAAATTAAATCTTTTATTTTCATATATATATTTAGAATTGTTCTACATATATTTCATGGATTTTGGGCTGTTCGTATGGTGGAGATCGAATTCTTTTATTGGCGCAAGAAATCTACGCACCTGCTGATCTATTCTATTCATTATTGGTCTGTAAATATTTTCTTTTATTATTTTTAGACAGGATGTATAGGATTTGTTTCTGATGTAATATTAATAGAAAAATTACATTTTTTATACTTTATTCCATTGAAGATGAAGCTGGTTCTTATGGAGAAGAAGACTTGCGCAGACAATAAACCTGCAATCTGTGAAATTTAGTAATGGAAACTACAATCTGCGAACTAATTTCTTGTTTTGCAGGGTTGTAGCCTTACGAACAACCCCCCTTTTTGTGTTTGTTCACTGATTCTTGATTGTCATTTATCAGTTTTTAATTTCAGATCATCTTCTTGAATTGAATATTGAATTAAACATCAAATCCTAGACCCATTCGAACCAGATTGGACTAAACTGTTTGTACCGAATCTATGGTTCGATGGGGGCTATTCTCAACCCTAAAATTTCCTTCATGGGCCAAGGGATTGATAGTTAATTGCAAGATGCAATTCGGCCCACATCTGTAAAACCCAGTTTTAATATGTTAAAACTGCCTTAGCCCAATTCAGCATAAATGCTATATGGGCCGAACTGCTCTTTGCAGTTCAGCCCATATACCTATATAATATTAATTGGTAATATTATGGAATTAAATGGGCTTTATTTATGGGTTTTACAGTTATTTAATTGATTGGATCAATTGTGGATTTCATGCATGTGATGTATGGATGTGTGATGTGCTACGTCCATGGGCCATAAGCACTTGGCCCACGCTGATTCGATAGTGGCTCTTTCGTACACCATGGCTGAACGCACATCATTTTCATGGTGTCTTTAAGGTCATTGGATGATCTCCCTTCGTGATGGGCCCCACATCAGCTTCCTCCCCAAGAGGAACCGTACGGAACCCTAGCCGTTTAGGCCCCATCTAAATCTGGCTTTATGAAAGTCAGCGAGAGCCACTTTGGTTTAACCTAAATAAAACTAGGGCGTAATTATTCGTTCCCTCCTGAAAATATAAATGCATGTGATAGGGAGATTCATATGATGAACTCTCTAACGGCCTTCCATCATTAGCATGAAGATGGGTCCTTCAGTAATGAGGAGATGCACCATAAAATTGGGCCATCCATTTGCTGTTGGATCTGTTGGATTGTTTTATAAGATGATAGAGGCGTCATAGACTGATGTGGAAGGGGTCTATCCTAAAATGGAAGTCTCTCTCACGGTACCTTGGCATTCACGAATATGATGGGTAAGCACTTACTGGACATGCTTTAATCCATTAGGATTTAAATTGGTTAATTGAAAGGAGACAAGATCTAATTTATAATCTAATTAGGATTAGCTGAGAGGATAAGATAGGTCTTATCTATTTAAGAGTCTAGATCCAAATATCATATTTGGATTAAGAAACTCTCTCCTAATTAGATTAGGAGGTTGATCCAAAGAAGACTATAAATAGGGGGCGAATTCCTTAGTTTTAACACAGAAATTTGCAGAATTCTCTCCTTGTTCTTGCTATCCCTACCCAATTCGATCTCCACCTGTGGAACTGATCAAGAAGAGTTCTTGATATTGTTTATTGGTTGAAGAAACAATCTGAATTCGTGCTCACCAGCCCTTTACTCCATTCTTTCTGAAGAATTCGGTTCTTGCTGAAGAGCCATCCTACTAGTCCTGCTTCACTACGCACTGTGTCATCTTTAGTGGAAGCGGGTTTTGGTTTTCTCCTTGGGCATGAACACCTTCATTTGGAGTTACTACTACTTCGTATCAGGTATATCCCTCTCCTCCCTTTGGTTTTAGATCTGATCCAGATTTGTTTCAAGAATGATCTTTGAAAATGCAGTTTTCTAAAATAGGGAATGCAATTCCCAAATAGAAGAGAGCGAAATTTTTGAAATTTCACCCAACCTTCCTACAAGGTTCGGCCATCCATATGATGGATCTCTCATCCCTTCACTCTTCTCTCATTGCCTTCTGCCATTTGGTACTTTGATAGGCTTCTTCATAACTAGTTACTTCCAAGTCACTAACTTCTTCAGCGAGTGTGACATCTATATACTTAAGGTTAGGGCGTCTAACCCTAGTTGACCTTCATAATTCTTGTGTTGGTTGTTCTTCTAGCTCCTCTATCTGACTTGGTCTGTTATCTTCAGCTGTCTTTTGCTCAAGAACACCAGTATTCCATGGTTTTGGAGATTTTTGTGAATTTGACGAGCTTGATTGAGGTTATAAATCTTTTTCAAATAACTTTTCTTGTACATTTTCCTCCATGACTTCAGAGTTGGGTAGTACTACTTTCTCAGGTGACCACCAAGATGAAGCTTCATCGAATACCACATTTCGAGATGTATAGCAACAATTGGTATTCGGATCATAGCACCTCCATCCCTTTCTTTCACTATCATAGCCGAGGAATATACAGTGATTAGCCTTCTTGTCAAACTTGCTTCGTAAATGGTTTGGCACAAATACGTAACATATGCAACCAAATACGCGAAAGTAACTTACAGTGGGTCGACGATTCCATAACTTCTCATATGGTGAGAGAAAGCCAAGTGATGTTTGTGGTAGTCGATTGATAACATGTGCGACAGTCTTTATGCCTTCTGCCCAAAATCGTCCTAGCACAATTTTACTATGCAACATGCTTTTGCAAACTTTAGCTAAATGTCGATTCTTTCTCTCAACTACTCCGTTCTAT